CTATGATCGATTGCAGCCTCTCGTAGGACTGATCTTTGTCGTCGTCATTGCTATCATCAGTGGGTGCATAACATTGGATAATATTCATTGTGATTCCCTCCTCCTTTGTTTTGAATGATGCTTTGATAATCCATGAGATTCCCATTCTTTAAGTGCATTTCGTGCTAGTTTAAACAGCACCAGAGCAACTCACTGAATGTGTGGAGTATTTTTCTCTTGGTGACCAGAATTATTCTGGTTAGCGTTTCTTAGCAATGTTTGTTACGGGACTGGGATGCTGACTCTATACCCCAACCTTCTTTACCTGGGCTTGGGACCAGCAGTAGCCCTAGAAGAGCTACAAGCGGAGATCCTTGTAAAATAACTGTTCAGTAAAACGAACATATATATGTACTAAGTTTAAATTCGGGGAGAATACTGTATCTGTGAATAAGTATTTCGGGATGTCAAGTTCATGTTTTGTATTTTTTGGGATTGGAAAATTATAATTCCAAGCAAAACCAAGTGTTCGGTAACCGAATTAGGAATACCAGTAAGATACACGGCGTTCAATGCAGGATGGTGTCTATTCAAGTGACCAAACCCAGTCAACTAAGGAAGCAGTCATGTTTTGCCACCCATTTAGTTCAGTAGTTAGAACAAGGCATCTAAAAGTTCACTGGTGGGTCCTAATTAAAATTTTATGTTAAATGATTATGCCTTTGCTGGCTGATATAATTTCCGCGAATTTAATCTATAAAAGTATTGTACTCTAAGTAGTATGCTTGTTGTAGAAAGGATGCAATGATGTGACTTTATTTCTTGTTGATATTTCTATACCAGCTTGGTTACTTTCACTACTTTTGCTTCTTTGATTAATATTATCTTTCTTATTGCCAATGAGGTTAGATTTATGAATCTTCCGAATAACACTGAGTTCGTATGCCGTACATGTGATGTAGGCTAGGCTTGTTTCAATAAATCCGTTTTGATTATTTTAGGTATGAATCAAATTCAGGTGGTGAACGCGAAATACAGAGGACAATGTTAGAATTACTTAATCAACTGGATGGTTTTGATTCTCGTGGAGACGTGAAAGTTATTATGGCCACTAACAGAATTGAAACGTTGGACCCTGCGCTAATCAGACCTGGTCGAATCGATCGTAAAATCGAATTTCCCCTACCTGATGAAAAAACAAAACGTCGTATTTTCAGTATTCATACAAGTCGCATGACTTTAGCTGAAGATGTAAATTTGGAGGAATATGTTTCTTCTAAAGATGAACTTTCAGGTGCTGACATCAAGGTGAGATGATATTTAATTTATGCAAGCACACCAAACCATTGCTTACCCAAATCGGGCGTATTGATAAGTATGATGAGCAAAAATAGGCCTGAGGAAAACTAGGAGCAGTGTGACCGAGACGTTAAAAGAATTTACGAAGCGCCTGACTCAATTGACCTAGGCCTTCCAAGTCATTTGATTAGGGATTTCAAAATAAGCAATCTGTTGTTTGCTACCGAAACCGGCCTACACGCAAACCTATGTTACGTGGCTCATATCATTCCTGCTTCCCTGTTATACTAGATTTTATGTGAAATTAAATAAACTGCTTCACCATTTCAGTATATCTTTTCTACAATGTTATTCATTTACTTATGAAATAAAGTGCTGAAGTCATCTAAAAACGACTGGGAACCATCAAGTTTAGCTGGCAGAATGAATTCTGAAATCCTGAATTTCGGATTAAATCAGATCGGTTCACTAACAAGTAGCGTGTCTGCAAATTTTATGTCAGGCTTACTCATCGTTGTTGCACTATATTTCTTCATATATCGCTTAAACGTTTTCGAATAAAAGTTATGTGACATCCTTAAAACCAACATCGTGCAAGTGTTCGGTTCATATGTAGTGTTTTTGTAAAAACCCCATACGAAACAACTATCCTTTGAAAGCTCATAGGTGTGGGTTTCATCAGAAATTTCCACCTTTTTTTACATGATCGTTGCTAGGATACCAACTTTTTCTGTATGTGTTTATGTTGAATGGAGTAAAAAGAGCCCTCATGCGTTCGGGCTAAAATCAACGCTGTGCTATGGAATTCACAAACGGAGTCATGTCATCAAGCTATAAAAGATTAGGAAGTGTAATGTTTATTTTTAACTGCGCACTAATAAAAGTGGATTTCGATTTTCTCTTTTTTTTCAGGCCATTTGTACTGAAGCTGGGTTGTTGGCTCTACGAGAAAGAAGGATGAAAGTCACTGACGAAGATTTCAAAAAGGCGAGAGAGAATGTACTTTATCGGAAAAGTGAAGGGACACCTGAAGGACTTTATCTGTAACTTGACTCACTTCTGCACTCTGTAAAATATATGTACGCTAACATGTTTTACTTACTAGTATCTTGTTTATTTCACAGTATATCTTCTTACTGAATTATTTTAATGCACGTATTCAAGTATTTTGAGCGGCCTTGTATTTGTTATCGGATCCATACTCCTGTAAATCTGTTTCCAATTTTGTTGAATATAACTCGTCCACTTTTACTCAGAGAACTGACGAAAGTTGTTGTTTCATATCGAATGTTCGCAATTCTCATGTATCATAACACTTAGCCGCATATTAGTGTTACTATATCACTCATACAAACCTTTGATACTGCTTAATCAAAGATTTTAGTTTGAAACTATTTGGTATCCATTTAATTAGGTGTCCACTTTACAAGGTTCGAAGGTGAAGGAATCGGATACAAAATATATAGTCGTTCATGCTGTGGCTTAAAACCACAAATGACTGGTCTTCAGTTGGATAGAATTGAGGGATTGGAGCCAGTAGTTAGAGCAAACACCATGTTGTGGGTTCGAACCTAGACCTGCCAACACCGATTCGGGAATACTAGTATCATGTGCCCTCACACCAAATGTGTTTTAATTCCAAGCATGTTAATCTGTCTAGCTACTCGGCTGAACCGCATCCCACCTTTAAGTCGGACGTCATACTCGTCTTGATTTGTCCTTCCAAGATTCGGTAGCAAAACGCTACTATCGATTGTTAAAAGCATCAAATGACGTCGCATAATTATAGCGTTTATGGTCTCGTTGTACTGAAGTAGTGTTCTGCTAAAAAGCCAACTGCCTAGTTCCACGAAAGGTACAGTTAGTTGAGTATATGTGGGTCTTCAGTATGATAACCTGGTTTTCTAAAACTATACGACACGTCCTATCACAAAGCTAGGTTGCTCAGTGGACTGGAGATTTTTAATACATATATTCGAAGTTGTTTGTTTCTAGAATGGTTGTCAGTCTATCATACTCATTTACAGTTTAATGACTACAAAGGTAATTTGTTTTTGGAAACTGCACTCAAACTTAATACTCATTCAAATTTCCAGTGAATACTTTAGGAACTCTACTACGTTATTTTTATTGAGCAGTTCAATCTTTAGCATGTGCGTCAACTTGATGCTGTGGGATGTAAATTTATATATATGTATAATTCTTACGACTATTAACTACCCTATATTGTTTTTTTGAAAAAAAAAAACTACTTGTTTTTGGTTTCTAAAGATGATCCAGAAACAAGTTTAGGATCTGATGCTTTTCTAAAATCTAGAACCCGTTCACTCGGATAATAGCTATTTGGAAGGTTTTATTTAAACCATTTTTTGTGAAGATTATAATGCTACTTATCTACTACACAAGAAGAGGATTCAATTGCTAGATAGTAAGTGGACACCAGTTGATTTTTTTAACTTCAAGCATTCAAGAAAAACGTTTATCTAGCGATCGCTGAATTTACTCCTAAAAAGGTATCCTATCCATTACTGCTATTAATTAAGTGACATCGTCACAAGTAGTAGAATACCCTGACCTTTTTTACATTAATGTAAATGTATGTCTTGTTAACAGCTGAAGTAGAGTTCTTATAGTAGATTTACGTACTCAGCGTCATGCTTATTGTGATAAAACAGACCGTTATCAAGATGACCTTAATATTTTCCAGTATTTTCATCTGCAAGAGCTGTTTAATAGTATTTATGTGAAGTAAATAATGTACTACACATGTTAAAATACCCCCCAACCTCGATGCCATCAGGATTAGTTGATAAAACAAGAAATAATGTCGGTTGAGACGAGGTGTAGACTAAAAATCGTCCCACAATATTTAACATCTTAATAATGAATTGTCACATTCTGCTCACTAAACATATCCGCTTCTTTAGGAACAAACCATATGTTGAAATAGTGTTGTTTGTTATACTTAGCTAACTGGATAGAATTTTTAAAGTAAAAAGTATTTTATAACAATAACAATTTAGGCATTTTAAATATGGTAATAAACGTGCAGATTATAGTTCATTGAACACCAAATATGTCAGCGTCCTAACGGGAAATTGACAAATATTTAGGTACTTTAAAGATATCACAATTGACCAACCTATGAAATGAAGTGCTACAGGGACATAAATATAGTTAGGAGAATTAGACAAAACTCATATGTTTTGATTTTGCTCAATCTACCAAAGTTGGGTATTTAACTGGATCAATAACTGTTATGTAATAAGCGCGGATCGCTGTCTACTACTGATATTTAGCCACCTCATTTCAAACTAATGCGAATCGAAGGTTGGACAAGTTCGTCCCGACATTGTTAGCAAATCTAGAAAACTGATGAGCGCAATTGTAAGATTGATATTCGAAATTCACTACACTACAATCAATTTTATTGTCTTATCTCTAATTTGCTCTCATCGCCTGAGAATGATCATGATCTTACCGAACAGCGTACACAATACACAGGGGGCATTGATGCGAGTTCGTCAAGTTAAACGGTTGGAAACAGTCAACATGAAGTCCTAGACTTAGCTTCCCTGCTAGTTGGAACTCGTCAACAAGGCGTATTTGTAATCTTGGGGTAAATAGTGTTCCGTGTGAGATATGAACCCGCTTTTGTCAGTATCACCCAGTCAGAGACGTTATAACCCATCTATTCTGACAGCAATTCTATTTGAATAACCTGAATTTTTGTAATTAGGAAATCCTGTTAAAAATCTGCAAAGTTGGTCACGTATTTTCATGTCACTTTATTAATGGGACTCTTGTGAAAGTTAGTTCAAACCAATATTATCATTTTTAAGTTTATTCATCTTAAGGACAAAAACAAACATGGCACTTCATCGTGAAAATTGAGAACAAGACTTTGAGTAACTGTTTACAAATGGAACTTTATTTACATATATAAATTAATGTACAATTTGTGACCGAAAGTGATCTTCATACTGGTCTATAGGACTCTACAGATAGCACTTACCAGAACAAAATGTTCCCAGCATTAATATTTGTGTATGTGACTCTCCTGAAAATTTATACAGAACAATGACTAAATGAAAAATAACCTTTGTAATGCTATAATATCACTATGAACACAATAACTACAAAAGAAACAACAATAACATCGTCATCATCAATAAAGTTGGGTAAAGCTATACTTACTTAAAATAACTTGGCTGAAAAAAATTTTGTAATGATGATTGAATGCCTAAAATTAACGAAGGAAATTTAAGTTGCGGTCATAGAATCTGAGCAAAATCAATAACTATACTCCACTTGTTACTACCGGTTATGAAAGCATAAAACAGATCTTCCTTATTTCAGTTTTCTTCTTTTAAATTATCAATAAAAACAAATGACCTATCCCAGAAAATGTCGAAACGTTTTGTGCCCATGAGATACATGTACACCTGAAGTGTTCAGCTTGTCCCATTACGTTGCAACTGCTTGGATTGTGAGGACAGATATGTTTTGGCAGTATGTGAGAAACCCAAAACTATGACACTAAATACCCGGTCCCATACACAGAACGCAGAGCTAATCAGACAATCTTCAAGAACAACTATCTATTAAACAATCCCGAATCTAAAGTTTAACTAGAAAAGCTTAGACTAGAAGTTCAAGTGTAATAATCCAGGAACATGCATAGTTTCTGATCGGGGTGTGTGACATAAACATTTAATGGTCGTAGTCACCTTCAGTGTAGGAATTGACACGAAAACTTACCGGTTCGAAGTTGTCACACCATAGCACAGAGGGAGAGGAAATTACCATGATGATAAGTAAAGACATTATAAGTCGCAGTGACAGAAATGCATTTATCAACTGAATCTTGAGGGTCAACATTACACTTTACTTGCCGATTTCATTCGTTGTTTCGGAACAATCTAGATGTTTCGTCTCTTATTATTATCTATATCATTACTTCGAAATCTTAAATTTCTACCTTGTGAATAAAAATAGACAGCTATTTGTCGCTCTAGACTATTATGGCAATGTGTAATGTATTTCTCTTTAGTGAGGTGATGTGTGGGCGAGAATGATAATGATTAGTTGTCTGCTTAGTCTGACAGTTGTCAGATGAGTTATATATTCCCCTATCCTCATTATTATTACTCACTTATTATTGATTGTTCATTGTTGTTTGATTGTGTCGGGTTTCGGTGTGGAAATACATTACGTTGTGGTCAGGCTAATCATGTGTTCTTGATCTGAGTTGCGTTGAAGTCCTGTAGAATAGACACTGGGAGGGAATCTAGTGTAGATATTCGTCTAAGGTAAATTAACGTTCTATACGTGTAAACCCAACCGTTATAACATTAGACAAAGTAAGACCGAGCGTTATAACATGAGGAATCCTCCTATCAGTTATAAATTCACTTGATGTTGTTAACTTGTATCTTCCCATTGTTATTTAAGACTGCAATTAATCAGTCCCACATTGGCATACGTGCATCCTGTGCGGACTGCCTCGATACTGCCTTAGATCACAAGCTTTGTTAGGACGAAACTCACGTCCTGGATTCCACTGCTAGCCACTATCCATCTGTCCTATCAGTTAGCTTCAAAATGGAATTCGTTAGGAAAGTAACCTAGATGGAATTGATGAACAGACTACTTGATGCCAATACATAGATGAAATCCTAAAGTGGTTGGAAAACAATAACAGAAGACATAGAAAGGTACGCAAAAACATTCGACTGACTATAAACTGTCGAAAACAACAATTTGGAGTTGGGGAGCACATAAAAATTTTAGGATTAGGTGTTTACTGTTTTGTAGCACTGTCTTTATCTCTTATAAACGTCACCACTGCAATATATACGCATTCAAGATACATGAAAATGTATGAAAGTAGCCAGGTCTAATCAAAGGTAGGTTGAAATTATGTGATGTTGCTATTAAATCTGCTTAAACACGTGCAGACAAAAATATGCAGTCACATTTAGCCAGACAGCAATGAATTACAAAAACAGGATAAATAAGTTTGAACATACAAAAACGATCTGTCCCAGCAATTGTCAGCCAGACAGAAGCAAAGAGTACTGGATTCCGAAAATATTTCAGAAATTTAATCCAATACTTATATTGTGTTCATCAACTGACATTATTTATCAAGCACTAATAGTGAGTTTGTGTTGAGCAATGTGCCTAAATTCACTGTAATTAACATGCTGTTTGTAGCGAATCTCAGGAAATTTGTAACAATTCAGTAAGCATAAACTGAAGATTCTGGAGAATCACTCCATAAAAAGTCTATACTGTCTAATGGATATAAAAAATCCCATTTCTCCAGAAGCAACAAATTAGGTTGGTATTACTCTAATTGACAGATAGAAGTAAAAAGTGTGTAATTCGGCAAAATTTATGTCAGTCTAAATCCTCAAAAATTACATTTACTAAGATAAGACCAGAGAAGTAAAATTAAAATACTTATCTTTGCAGAAAACTACACATATTAGACAGTTTAAAAGGGACAATTGAGATTTGGGGATAGGAAGTATGTGATAGTGTTTTTCTCGGGATTAAAGAAAATAAAAGAATAAATGTACCTAAGCTAGTGACAGGTTTCAAACTATTTTAACTAAGTCCTCTAGTGATAGGTTACGTTTGTTATTCAATGCTGTATCAACAAATGTTCACCAAACCAAACATTAGACTACTTTTCCAGAAATTAACAATGGTTGGCTCTCTATTAAACTTGACGAAATGGCCTGCAGTAAGTTCTAGAAAAATAAACGTTGTAAACTACCAAAGAGCAGATAAATAAACGGTTAGTTGAACAAATACGATAAATAAAATTAGAACCATTCTATTAAAAGGCTGGATATAAAAGTATCAAAGTGAACTTTGAAAATAAGGATGTTACACTATTACTTTTCTAAACTAACTTACTTTTATGGTTTAATTCTAACATTTTCTGTCCATAGATCTTTCATCACAGAGGAGTCCAAGTTCTGATAAAAATTTCGTAGGATTGTCATCGTTCAGACTACTAGAAATGAGATCATACATTCCAACAGACTTTGCACGGCTCGTTATTTGCTCTACTGATACCTTGGCAATGCGAACAGCAAGTGCATAATATTTCCAAAGTCGAGAACTTGAAGTCACCACAGAAGTTGCATTTATTAGAATTTCTAGAAGAGTTGATAACTGTTCAGATGATCGTATATGTGAAAGAGTTTTAAATGTTGTCGAAGCATACAAAAGCCAGAAGTCTTCATTATCAGGTCTATCTAAACATCCGATTGCACACAGACTTTGAGCTAAAAAGTGGTCACCTAGAGCACACAAAGTCCGACACAAAGAGGGAACCAGAGAAGCACCATATATTTCAACAAGTTGTACACATATATCGTGACGAATTCCAGAAGGAAGAAGACCTAAGTTAATTTGTTGAATCAACTCAAGAAAGTACGCTGGAAGTAACTTACGATCCAACTTGAAAGGGTTATCGATGAACAGTAACTTTATGACAGTAGGATAAGTTGAACTATCTAACTGATTCACATGACTTGCTAATAAGAGACTCATTAGGGCTAAAAGACGAATGAAAACATAATTTGGATCTTCGTTTGCACAACTCATGATGCATGACTTATAGTGACTAATTAAGTGGTCTAAAACTTCACCGTAATTTAGGCAATGGATAGTGGTATACAGACAATAACTGAGCCATAAATATGTGGAACTTCGTGGACACACTTTAAAGTTAACAAGACTGCTATTACTGGACTTTATATTCAACAAATTTTCATACGCTGAAATAACACTTTCGCAATCATCTTTTGGAAGAAAGATTAAATTGCCTAAACACTCAATAAGATGAAACTCCGTAGAATTTAATGTTTTTCTACGCCAATTTAAACATGTTATCAAGAATCCAAATTCAATTCGATGGGCTAAATTAAGGTTGACTCGTAATTTGTCAGACACATTACTAATCAAGCTTGTCCAGTCCAGAGATGAATCTAAGGAAAATAAAGAATATACTGCAGATGGGAAAAACAGATCATCTACAAACTCAGGGGAATGTAATGCTACTGTCAGTGCTATATCTGCTGCACTTTTAAATTTGGAATCTGCATTAAGAGTTTGAATGTATAAATGAGTGATATACAGAAAGCAAGTGAAGCTAATATCATTTTTAATTGTTTCAAATGATTCCAGTAATTGAGATAAATTTTTAGAAATACCAGTTTCAGTGGCTGCCATTTCAATAATTTCCAGGTTAGATAAGAGGACTGGTTTGGAGAAGCATGGTGAATTGGCGGTAGAAAATAGGTTTTCATGGGGTAAAGTACCATTTAGTTGGTGATATAATCGTAACCACCACAAGAAATAAATTAGCTTGTTCTCCGTAGGTAATGATTTGAGAGTATGTTTCAGGATGGTAATTACCTTGTTATGTAAACCAAGTTCTTGTTCAAGCAAACACCACTGATAAACGAAGTACGCGAAAGATGACTCAAAATTTGATTCTTGACTTGCTTGTGCATCTTGCTGGAATTGAAGAGTTATATATTCAAGAGACAATTTAATTATTGATCTGCGGATTGGTATGCTTAAATTGGGATGTCGTAATGCTAATCTACAAGCATTCAATGGAAAACTGGAGGCTTTTAGGCAATCAAAAAGCTTTTGCTTAACTGTTATTGGATCCATATTAGAACATAACAAAAGTCCGAATACTATATGGGCACATAAATCTGCAGGGAATGAGGAATTTTCGAGGTCGCTTGAGAATTTATGAAGGAAGGCCGAGCTTTTTGGTTCTGAACGTAAATATGCAAGATAAGCTGTATGCCAACGTTGTATTGCTGATGACTGAGAGAAATCTGATGCAGACATGACCAAATTTTCTTTGCACACTTCACAATACACGTCATCATATCTCCCTTTATTTTCCTCACCAAGCAGAGACACAACATCCGTGCTAACCATGAATAAAGGGGAAAAAGTTTTCGATTTTGCTTTTATAACAGTTGAATTTTTGGGATGCTGAAATATACATGTTTTGTCTAGACATTCACCATCGAGATAAAATGGGCAAATCGGGCGGAATGGATCGAATTCCAGCAAGGTTTCTGAACTTGGTTTTACTGTTGCCACCGGCTTCACACTTTTCATGTTAAACTTTGATGTAGTTGGGTTAAAATGATAGTGAACAAGAAACCACGTAACCACTTTCGCTCTTTGTAGAACATCTAGCGACAAAATAATAAGATCTCTGCGTAGATTTACAGATGATAAAGCAAAACCTGTTTGTATTATGTCAGCAGTGGAGCGGTTTACAGAATTAAGCACATCTGAATATAATTTTTGGGCTGAAGCCAGTTTTCGCTGATAAGTAGCATTTGTACGTTGGGCCTTGACAAGAGACTTACTAGCTTCTTTATACAACAAAGCTGTATGCTTACTGCGCCTACGAAGTTCTGATAACGTGGTCGATAACTTCCGAACGATTTTACGTCGTTCATCTATCAAGTGTTGTTGACGTTTAACAGTTAGTTTCAGTCGGAGAAGCTCCATTTTTCTTTGCAACAACATTTTTTCTTCTTGATGAAAACGACTGATTTTCTTTGACTGATTAGGAATATCCATGTTAATAGGAGGCTTAGAAGCGCATCTTTTTGCTGTTGAACCCTTGAAAACAGCACCGACAGGTTGACTAAGTGAGTCATCGCTATCTGATGATTCATGTAACGTAATTATAAATTTCTGCTTATGTTTTAAAGTTGATGAATCACATGATGCCGTGACTTTTGAAAACGAATTCCTGACTTCAGGTAAGTTATGGAGCAGTGTGAGATCAGTTTTCGGTTGAGTTCTATTCCCTGAAGTGGTTTTTTTCTGGAGCAGCATACTCCTTAGTGCACGACTTCTGAGTTCAATTTCATCTAATTCTGCTGAGCACTTCAGAAATAAATAACAAATGAGGTAAACCTACGTTCTGAACAACTGGATCCTCGGACTCTGTGTATGCGGAGAGGAAAGCATCAGCATATTCTGATCCCGAGTCTTCCTCGGAAGTAACAATTTCCATCGGGACATCATCCAAATTTACTTCACATAATGACGTTTGTATGATATCATTTGAAGGACCTAATAAACACACTTTATGTAAATGAACTCGATATACTGCTTGTTGGTGGATTGAAGGTTGTAGATGGATCTTGAAGAAGCGGCCCCCGTTTGGGTTGAGACGATAAGGGCACAGGGACACTGAAAAACGAACTTTCGTTTCCCTGTGGAAGGGGTATGATACATGAGAAAGGGTTATGAACAAAAATATTTTGCAGAGGATAATGATAATTTTCCATTTACCTAAAATTTGTCAAAGAAAAAAAAGCGTCAGTACAGAAATTCAGTTCTCGACGTAGTGAAAACATTAAAGATTTCAGTGATGCATTTTAAACATTATCCTAAGTTTCCGTGGAAAGGAGTTCGACATCTTTATGTAGAAATAAAGACGCCATTTGAAGTCGTCTATTTGGTATCAAGTAATAAAAACCTTCTAGAAGCACTCTAAAATTTCAAAGGCTTGGACTTTCAAATCACTAGACCGATGGGACACGGTTTCTGACATTTTCACGAAATTAAATTTAAAAAAATAAAGACCCAATATTGATAGCAACAAAACTCAGAATTATATTCTGTTTTATATTTCCAAGGGACGAAAGGGAAATTTGTGAAGGAAAAATGGCCATATATTATAGTCACTAGTGAGGATTGACTTTACAACCGTTACATATTCAAGCCAGTGATTTGTGAGAAAGTCAGTTGTATAACACTTCTCAGGACTTTGGAGATAAGGAAAAAGGGAATGAAAACAAATAAATAAAAACGTGTTATTTGGTCATTCATTCACAAAGTAGAACCTGTATGCATGTACCCCATTAGCACACCGAAATGAAATTGTCAGGCAAAACCCCAGAACAATAGAAGTAGTAACAGTATCAGTGGTAATAGGAAAGATTAAACACAGAAGATGCAACTCGAAAAAATATATAAATTAGCGGAATAAGAACGAAAAAAGTTATGAGGAACTTAAAATCTCAGAATTTGGATGAAGACTGAAAGTAGATGAGCCTGCGCCATTGCAAACGATACTGAACCATGTCATCCAAAGTCTCTGATTATTGGTTACGATAATCAAGTGGACCCCAACCACGTAGTCTGTCAGTCATCTACAACGTAGGACCAGGCACATATGTGCATCGGTCCAAATTTCCATACTGCATTAGCACAACAAGATTCACTGGATTCATAGAAGTAGTTAATTCAATGGTGGTAATATACAAAAGGAAGATTGCATATAAGGATATAGTACAAGAAGAGAGAAATAGTTAGTAGAAAGAAAGATATGAAGCGATTTTACTCTCTTAGTTTAAGGGAAGACAGAGAGTGTATACACCAATGCCATTGTGATCGATTCTGAGCCATGTCACCAAGAATCTCTAACCATTAGTTACGATAGTCACGCACACCCTAACCAAGTAGTCTGCATCTACCAACGTGGCTCAGACTAGAAGTTAGTGGTTTCAAGGACTGATGCCACGTTTTGGTTTGACCACCCCTAACTTTCTTCCAACCGTCTCCAACACCACTCAGCATTGCGCGTCGTGGTAAACGGTGTTCAGGCATACGAAACACATGGCCCAACCATCTCAGTCAACGAAGATTTACAACCTCATCAACTGATTTACCATCGTTCCCAAATACCCTGTGTCTAACCTCACTATTACTTACCCGGTGATTCAGAAAATGCGAGCGATATTTCTAAGACATATTTGATCAAATACTAGTAGCTTACGAGGATCTTCTACTCGTAATGGCCACGTTCCGCAGCCGTAAAGTAAAACAGAACGGACTGCCGCGCAGTATACTCGTCCTTTTATTGATAGACGGATATCTCGCCTTCGCCATAGGTGACGTAAGTCGGCAAAAGCCAAGCGAGCTTTTCGAATCCGTGCTGAGATTTCGTCAGACACCAACGCATTAGGGCTGATCAGACTTCCAAGATAAGTGAAGTTGTCAACGCGTTCGACTACTTCACGCCCTATCCTTAGTCCAGGTGTTAACGCAGGTCAGTCCTAAAGCAATAACTTGCATTTAGATGGGAGAAACGGGTCCAAAACACCCTGGCATTGTTGCTCAGTGCTACCAAAAGACCTCTGCATTTTATCAGCGTCTTCGAAAAACAGGACTATATCAGCTGCGTATTCTAAGTCGATAAGTGGACCTTCTAGAGGGAGATCAATGCCCAAGAATTCAGTCGACGGGAACGTTATTTCCATCAATATACCTATGATGAAGTTGAACAAAAATTGAGATAGTGGACAGCCTTGACGGACAACACTTGAGGTTGAAAAATCAAATGACAACTTTCCATAAGCTTTGATCCGACTGGTAGTGTTCGAGTAAAGAGCCTTCACAAGGTTTATGTACTTCTGAGGTACGCTTTTCAATAACAGACACTGACACAGAACCTCCCGGTCTACAGAATAAAATGCTGCTTTTAAGTCAAGATAAACTGTCATTGTCGGACGCCGATAAGTATGCTTGTGTTCTAGAACCTGACGAATGGTGAATATGTGGTCGATGCAGCCACAACCAGGTCTGAAACCAACCTGATTTTCTCGTGTTTGCAGCTTACGAGTCTTTGTTAAGCGTACGACAATTATTGAGGCTATTATTTTAGGTTCTATACTAGTCGAACTAATCCCGCTATGGTTATCACAGGATGATTTTGACCCCTTCTTACATATTGGGACGACCAGTGATTGCAACCAGTCAGATGGAATTATATCCGACTCCCAGATTTTAGCTAAAATATTAGTCAACCCAATCATCAAAACTGGACCACCAGGCCTAAAGACCGCTGGAGCAAATCCATCTGAACCAGCTGCCCTTCCTCGTTTCGGATTAGCTATAGCTTCTTCCACTTTAATTCGAGTTGAAGGACCTACTTCAATGTTCCATTCAGGCTTTCTGGGAATAGTAAGTAGTTTTAGAGTAGCTGAAGGTCAGCTACACTGCTCTCTAAAGTGTTCCGCCCATCGTCCTAAACGTCTGGACTGAGAGCAGCCTCGTTTTCAGAACTATTTAAGTGTGACTTCAGTTGTTCCTGGAACCTACTTTTGGTTTTCTCGTTACTCAATTCAGTTCTAATGGGTCTTCTTAGTGTGGCTTTTCTGCATCCAGTGAGGCGCAAGCAGAAGCGTGCTCGTATTAGAGTATGGTCGGAGTCCAAGCAGGTACTCCAGAATGAACGACAATCTTCTATCGACCCTCTCCAACGATGACTAGTGCCAATATGGTCTATTTGAGTCCATCGTTGGTTTGGTGCAGGAAGTCGCCATGTTAGACGATGTCTCTCCTAATGCTTAAAATTTGTGTTTGCTAAAAATAAACAATTGTCTGAGCACAGTTGCAGCAGACGATCACCACTATCTGTTCTCTGTGTCGGAATACTAAAATACCCACCCAAATGCCTTTCTGTCTGGTTTAAGCTACCTATCTGGGCATTAAAGTCATCTCCCACGTGTACTATGTCTGAACGTTTAGCTTTCTGAAGAAGTTCAGAGAGCTTTCTGTAAAATTCATCTTTCACTTCATCCGAGCTGCAGTCAGTGGAAACGTAGACAGAAACGACAAAAAGGCAACCACGTGTGTCCCTATCCTTCCGAGTTCTTACGGAACCGTTTAGCCGAACAACACATAGACGACTGTTAACGGGGATCCACTTTAATAATACTTGTTCCGCCCTCATGCTTAGTGCTACGCCTACACCTGCCAGTTCACGAGGACTAGCCATCGGGTCGCCAGATACACGGGGGGTTTATCTCGTTGGCTCTCCGTCTTGCCGAGGCGGGGTCAAGTGAATGACCACACTAGGATCCTGTATGCGTGTTTCGGAGACACAGCATACATCAATCGTACGAGATTCTAGGGTTTTAGCCAAGGAGGCCTGCTGACCGACTTGACATAGTATGTGTACGTTGGAGGCTCTAATGTGTAGTTTGGAGCGAGGTTTCAGTGGACCTGGGACAGTGTTTTGCACACTAGAATCGTTGGCTATGGTGACACTCGAGGACGAAGCCGAAACAGGAAGTTTAGAGTTGAAAGTCGATGTAGGAGGAATTATAGGAATTGAAGAGAGAGTTTGATTATGAATACAGTGGTCCTTGAGTGCTGTTAGATATATGAGGGCGGTTATCACTTCCCGGTTATCCACACCGTGGAAGAGTTCTTCTGGAGGCACCTGAAAAGGAAATTGTGTTAGGGGTGGTCTCAGTGACCTTTTTGTATTAGCTCCGTACTTGTTGAGACCTTGCCACCGGAGATGGATATTCATGAGATAATGCGAGGTGTGCATTTCTAGGGTTGACCTTTGCTAACTCCACCCCTTCTTGTGGGAAGGCAGCATCGCTGTCATGCTGGTTGTCTGAAGGAAACACCGTACTGCTGTCACACCTCTGTACAGTCATCAGTACGACTTCGCCTTCGGACCTTGGGTTTGTCGCTTTTAGTCTTGCCGCTCCTCAACCGACATGTCTGGAATGGTAGGACCTTGAGGAACGGTTGTTTCAGCCAGTATAGCTCGGTTACTTCATCACGATAGGCAAGCCCGACCACCACGTCAAGGTAGCAGCAACGGTTGGGACGTAGTCCGTACCCATTACGATGGCTGAGTCCAACTGCTAGTGACTTTATGGACTGATGCCATGTGTTAGTTTGGCCGCCTCTAACTTCCTTTCAGCCTACTTCTGCACCAGAAAACATCGCTTGTTGAGGTAGGCGATAGTTGGGTATAAGTAACACATGTCCTAACCACCTCAGTTGATGAAGATTTACTACCTTATCAATCGATTTCGCATCTTTACCTAGTACTCTATTCCTAACTCTGTGATCTCAAAATGCTTTGAAGACATCCATGATAGAACACTAGTAACCAACGAATATCCTTTACTCTTAGCCATGTTTCATATCCATAAAATAGAATAGAGCGAACTTCTGCGCAGTAAACTCTCCCTTGAGTTGAAAAACAGTTATCTCGCCTACTCCATAAGTGATGCAAGTTAGCAAAAGCCAATCGAACCTTCTTACTCCGTGCACAGATTTTGTCAGACGCTAGAGCATCAGTAATGATGAGACTCCCAAGATAGGTGAAGCGGTCAGTGGGTTTAACTGCTTCAACACCTATCACTAATTCAGAGGATGACCCATGCCAATCCTGAAGTATCATTTTATATTTGGTGGGGCATAATCCCATCACAAGCATACTCGCATTGTTGCTTCAAGTGGTCAGAAGACTTCACTTT